GAAACACCCCCCGCCCAAAAAAGGAGTTAAACCACCCAACCTTCACATCCACAAATGTTTATCACAGTATCTACCAAAATTCAGCAATCAGCTTTTACTTTAGGGGCAATTTCTCCTGAATTTCCACATACCCCCAAGAAGAAAGTGCATTAATACATTCTTCTTTTTCATATTCAATCATGCTCAAAGTGTACAGACCCATAACCAATCACAAAAATGGACCACACTGGTGTATTAAGTAAAGTGTAACTGACTGGTCCATTATTGACTTAGAGTTTAAACAGTTTACAGTGGCAGTAAAAACCAAGGTTTTACTTCTCCAGTAGTTATAAAAATTCCTTACATTTTGGCCTCCAAACAAACACAATGTAGAACATCTACAGCTTCGGGCAAGAAGTTGGTGGTTCCACCATTTGTTGAGGACCTGAACACAAGTAATTTCCTTGCTTTGTATTGCAAGATTGCTCAAAGACTCCCCAATCTCGTAATGGAGAGGGGCTAAAATAGCTGCTAAATGCTTGATTGGGTCGTAAAATGCTCATCCAGATTGTTCTGAGCAGTTAAATAAAGTGGAAACTTGGAGCTGGAGGCACAACAAAAGAAGCTTTAAATAGATTCTTGTAAACAGCATTTCCACAGGTGAAACATACCAGGAGACCAGATCAGTCTTTCTTTTCCTGGGATACAAAGAAACCACACTGCTTAACATCAATCAAGCGGCAATCCTGTTGTCAATGAGGCTCAAGTTTCGCCAATTTTATCAATTGATGGTGCATCCACAAGATGAAAGTGGCTATGGCCAATTAGCTCCAGCAACTCGTGTGAGGGAGAAAAACAAAATAAAGAGCTCCGGCTCTTTATTCACAACACAAACTACATATTTTGTGTCTAATTTGATCGAGGCCCTCTGCTGGCTGAATTCTGTGATTTGAGGAAGAGGGCGGGGAAGGTGGGAGTGGGCCAAAAGAAGAGGAGAGGACAAATTGAAGCCATGCCAGCTTTGAATCACATACAGTACATGCATTTTTTGGGTGAAAGCTATTTGATTACCACATATTATGTAAAAATATTTTTAACAAGAATTTACTGACGACAATGCAATATGTGGACAGACCTATACATTGCGTCTATCAAGAGATAAAATATTATTTTCAGCTATAGTGCATGTGAAAGCTGTTAGCTTGATGATTTCTGAACAGAATGTAGGAAGTTTAAATAACTTTATTTCCTTTTTCAAGGAAGAAAGCTGATGTTGGACACGTGTTCATAAATGACAGAGCAAGTGACAAGCATGTGTCTGACAGTTGTAATCCTGCATGCTTTACACTTCCTGCATTTGCTCTTGAATTTTCAGACAAGTCATTCTCACAAAACAGACGGAGAGCTTCAGATAATGAGGTTAATTCCAAGTTGATGGCCGAACAGTTATGCGAATACCTGCTTCCTGATGAAATTAAAACCAAACTTGCAACTTGGAGCCCTAAGAGTAGATGCAGAGCTATCATCACAGCCAGGGACTCAGCTTTAAATGTCATGCAGGTTTTGTTTTTGGATCCAATCAGGAGTTGAGTCTTTTCAAAGCACCACTCCGTTTGAGTCAGGGAGACCAGATTATAGTCAAGTGCTGGCACTTTATCTGATGGAAGGACTGATGCTCATGTCTAATCTGACCATTAGCTTTTTTAAACTAGAACTGTTTGCAAAGAACGTTTAACATAGTTTTTAAAATATATATATGTCATGAGGTGAGTCACATGATCTAAGCAGACTCCCACCCCTGTGAAGCCAAGGCCGTTTTCCAATACTTGACTTTGGCTCTGTCTCAGGCTTCAACTGTTTTTTACTTCCTGACTTTGAGGTTGTAAGCGCAATAGTGAGTCTGATAGTGCCACAAAACATCAAGTAAGATGCAAAAGAGCCAAACATTACAGTACTTCAATTTCAGCGAAACGCTTCAGGCCCACAATCAGAGATTGGTTTCTACAAGAAGCCTGAGATGGAGACGAAGTTGATTATTTGAAAACGGCCCAAGCCTTGATCTGGGGAGAGACACAGCATGGTCATGAGTGATTCAATGTTCAAATTTGCATCATTACAAAAATCTTGACCCTGGATGTAGATCTACAACCCTGGTCCTGACCACAGTTACATGTAATCTTACTTTCCATGTACACAGCATCCAATACAGGTTGACATCAGTCTAAAATACAATGTAAGTGTAAGCAGGGTGCATAAAATCAATCAAAGACATTCGATGGGAAGAAAGACTTGAACTTTCAGTTCTTTTTTTATGTTTAAATTGCTGGGTTATGAGCAAGGCGACCATAATGCAGGAGCATGCCAAAATGTTGCAAACCACATCACGATTTAAATACATTTTTTAATGCATTTGACTCTAGCCATGGGTACATGTTCACCTCTGTAATCGGATTATTCCCAACCAGAGACAAACCTACTCAATCATGGGTGCACCAAACAACCCAGACTGGATCGCAACTTGAAAGGACCATGGAGCTCCTTTTTTATTGCTCCATGAAAGGACATGCACATTATCCTCTTCCTGCGCAGTGCGAAGTGCCAATCCATTTTCTCCACGATTCAATTTTCCTGACAGGAAGTCAACACAGAATTTCAAAGGTGGTTAGGGAGAAAAAAGAGAGAGAAAGACGAAAGAAAGACGACTGGTGCGACTTTACCCGGGCGCAAGGAGAACCAGTAGTTTCCTTGCTGGGCAACAATTCCCTTGTGAGGATTAGAGGTGTTGCTGGCTTTGCATTGTCTGTCCTGGCAGCAAGTATTGGTGGGTACTATTGTTGGCCACAGACAGCTTAGCCTCCGTGTGTCAGTATCGGTTACAGTTCAAGAAGGGGGAAAATGTCCTCTGATGGTTTCATTTCAATTCTTTAAAGGGACTTGGGGACTGGTAACCGATTCACCCGCCAAATCTGGCTATTCTTGGTGTTCTTTTTTTCCCTTCTGTTTCTCTGTCTCTGTCTCCCAGCTTGGACGAAGTAGGGGTCTGTCAAAACTGAGCATTTTGCGGCCAGATTGACTGTGGTCTTTTCCATAATGGGATAAGCTTCTTAACTGTCAAGATATAGTGTTTCTTTAGATTTTGCCTTCTTAGAAAATTTGAATGTCTTGACAAGTTGCCCTCATGGCAAAGAGAAGGGGTAGAAGTTTTGAAACATTCACAAGTGAAACAAGGCATGAAACAAATGTGAATCTCAGCAAAAATGGTAGAGGTGCAGGGAAAATTTAGAGGATATTTTTGGCCATGCTTTACATGTTCAGAAGGGTGCTATGTGTTACTATGCATACGATAATCTTGCACAATCGGCTGTCACATAGTGCCCTCTGTTGACTGGCAAAATTTACTTCGCGAACACAGATATAGTAACATCTTGGGACCAAGACTATCAGTGTGGCAGAGGCCTGCGCCAAATACACAAGCATCTGTGCTCGCACGTGTGGTTCCCACTGAACGGACATTGTTGCTACAGTGAAAACATGCCATCTTGGAGCAGATAATGAAGGACACATTGATTGCCAAATCAGCATTCATGCTCCAGTTCATTTTTACACACATACATACACACCGTATTGTAAGTCACTGCATAAATGACCAGCTGTTTTCTTCTTTGTTTTTTAATCCCCACAATTCTCTAAGGTCAACCTACAATAAAATGTGAGGTTACCGCTTCTACAGTGGGCACAAAATGGCACACAGGGACTTCTCCAAAAACCAACAACTAGACTGGTGTTCCCCATGGACACATCAATAAAAAAAAGTGGCATCTTTGTGGACATAATCTCTTTAAATAACTTCCACTGTTTGGTGGTTTGGCACAGTCAACTGCCTTAATCCAATGAGAGAGATTAGACTGTCATGATAGGGGGATTAACAATCAATAGTGGCAAGGCAGCTGTATGATCATGCTCCAAGGTTTTAAATCACACAGCAACTCTCACCCCCCCCATCTTTCCCTGGGAAGTAAGACAATTATCTTCACAGGTGGTTGAACTAGGGGACAATGACCTGTCTCTCCTTGGGATATTTCTACGATTTCCTTTGGGATAGTATTTGTCAGGAAGGAATGTGCGGAATTATGTGCACCCCCCACTATTCTTCCATGTCTATTACATTTACATAAACATGCTCCGTGAAGTCACAAAAATTGGGGTTTTTATACTGTCCTTATTTCAGTGCACATAGAGCAGAACTAAAGATTCTTGAATAGCCAAGAATACATGGCATGATGTTTGCTGTTTTTACAATTTTACTATCTCTCAAAAAATACCATACCCAGAATATTTCTACACTAGCTGGTCTCAGCAACCAAAATGTATAGATGTACATGTATATTATTAATGACATTATAATATTGTATGTCCTTCATATTGTAGAGAAAAGGTTAGGCCGATGAACCCTGTCTTCAAAACTATTTACTGGCAAAATGTGAAGCAAGTAATGCTATCATACCAAACAAATGCAACACTTAAGCCCAGAAGCTGACTTTTTTGGAGGGGGAGACAAAAATTGTGGAATTTCATTGTACCTCGTAAATGTAACTTGTTTCGGCTGAACTAAATTTTTGGGCTCTTACATATTTGGAAGGAAGGGAAATGACACAGTCCCCCTTAAAAAAAATCACCTCTCACTATTTGTCAAAAACAAAATTTTGTACTTTTTATGGAGGGGGACCATGGTCTCCATAGCCCTCCTCCGGATTGCCCGAGCCAAGTTACCATGCATTAATACATTTAATTGCAGTCGTATAAAAGTTTGCTTTCAGTATCTTGTATGCACATATTTTGCACCAAATTATAAGTGGCATCAAGTTTAGCTTACAGAACACTTCATGCACAAATGCATTTTCCTATGAAGACTTGAGGGATCGTGTCCAAACTAACTGCAGTAGGATAGCGCATGTGTTAACAAACTTTGAGGTCATTATGTAAAATACCCATTAAAAATCAGCTTTCCTGGATATATCTACCTTGAGCCCAGCCTCATAGTTGTGCTGCATCATCAGGTTGGCGCCCGTCACGTCATTGCCACCGGTGTCCGTTGTGTCGATGAAGTCCCTCGTAAAGTACATGCCGTAGCGGATGTTGTCCGAGCAGCCACCCCAGGCCCAGTCCCCCGTGCCGGCCTCCTTGTTGTGTTTGCGGCCTTTGTTCTGTGCACACCCGCACTCTACCACCTCCCCGCTGCCGCAGGCCCGCGTGACGTGGAAGGTGATGCTGGCCGAGGTCATGCCTTGTAGGAAGGCCATCTCCTGGTTTCCTGCAAAAGTGAGAAAAAGACGGCAACAGATGATGATGTGGGCAATAGAAAGCATCCTGTTGTAGTCAAGTTTATCACAAGTTGGAGAGCGAAACAATAGCAAGTTGAATCACAACTGAGAAGGGATGAAGAACGATGAAGGAATGTCTTGTCTAGTTGTTGCTGGCCTAGGATAGCTTGTGGTTTGAGGCAGGTTGTGAAACTTTATGAAGTCATGAGGACTTACAAAAGTATGTTGGAATCAACTTCAGCAATGGCAAATGCAACTTGTAATCAACCAGTAAAATTGAAATTGAGGAAAATCCTGACCGCTACTTCTGCAGCAGTTGGTTGCCACTTTTGTGAATTAGTTCTCTCTAAAACAGAACATTTTAAAGGAATATTTTGATTTTATTTCTTTAAAAAATCTCTGTTAAATGTATGTGTCATAACCGTCGGAGTACTTCAACTCCACAACATGACCCATAACAGCGTAAAGATAACAAGACCGAGCTTGTCACATATGCTTACAATAATGGTTAAATTGTCAGAGTTTAATTATAAAGGGGTCTGCTGGGCTTTCTTATAACTTCCTTTTCATTCAGAAATTATACCAATCTAAAACCAGATCATACTGTGGGACAGTCTCTATTTTGGTAAGATAGTGAAGCAGGTATGTTTCCAGCTACCATTTACTACATGCACCTAACATAGGCCGACTCATCTATTTCTATACTGATTGGATAAGTGCATTGAGACTGAGGGATAAATGCGATAGGTGCCATCTTTGGAGGCCCGGCACTGATGTGTGTTATAAAATCTCACTAAGGGACTCAAAATCTTAGTTATGGTGGGGTGCTGTGTCAGGACTCTAACAGGCAATTTTAAGTGCTATCTGTTTATCTTCATTTACAACAGGGGGTCTTGAAGTCAAACTTTTATATATCTTGGACCCTTGAATTATTTATTGCTTGGTACCGGTAGTTGATACAGCTTGAAACCGTGGAAAATTACAAAAGTGTACAGTGCACTCTGCTACCAAGAATGAGGGTGTCAACCTTTTTTGGAGGCCAAACAATGAGCCAAAGAGACCTCACGTGTGTGGCCATATGGGCATGTGCTGTCCAGTCAGAGATCATAGCATGAGCAGAAACTAAAAAATGATTGAAAAATGACAGTAGCTATGAAGTAAACACACTTTCAGGGTTGACTTCATTTTTTTCCTGACCTTGACCGAATGGTTCATTTCAAGAATCAGACTAAGAATCTATCCGACTTATGATGTTTTAAGCTTTTCACGGTACACGAGACATGAATCGGCACTTGGGTGAGACAGAAATCCTCAAACCATCGGTCGCAATTGTCCCACCTTTCCCCCTGACAACAGGGTAACTGAATGCGACAGCTCCCTAATATCGCTGAGACTGTCAAGACGCATCATTTGCAGGTGGAGGGGGGAAACGTTTATCTCCAGGACAACTGCTAAAATGATTACCCATGAGCCGCATCAGAGGAAGGGAGCAATTTCCTTGACATGACCGCTAAGTGTAAAACCACAAATTGAGACACTACCATAAATAAACTGGCCTTTCCCTCACTGACATTTTCCCCCTTCATGTGGAGGAATCTATTCACAGTTAAATTCTCTTAAGACACAAGATGACCCTTCAATATGATTGGACAAATTTTTCCTGACGGACATTTCTGGTTGTGAATGACAGAGGTTTGTGTCAAAGTTCAAAGCTGTCAATGGCATTCATCATTTCGGTACAAAATATGTCTTTAAAATGGCTTAGGTTTTGATGATTGAGTAAAAACTATCTGGAATCCCTTAGTTTGGGGAGAGGGTTAGATAATTTGATGACGTATGATGGAGACAGGTGCAGCTGGTCGGACCATGGTCAGACAGAAGATAATGCCAATAATCTGCTGAACTTCTGAAGACCTCAAGCAGATCTCCCATGATCAACCACAAGGGGCAATATAGCTGACAGGAGGTGTTAACAAAAGGAAAGCCAGGGATTTTTGACTCCACCCTGAAAAGGACAACCAAAGTGAGAATGATTTTTTTTTTTAATTTGAAAATGGTCTGAAACTTTGACATTAAACTGAACACATTACTTACCTATGTATATAGTGAACTGTGTCCCCACATACATGTAAATAATATCAATTAATAATGGACAGTTCCTATACAGCCTATGTAGGGCACAGTCAATTTGAACCTCAGGCTACATCCCAAAATGACTTGTTTTTACCCACAACTCTGGACTTTTAATGCAGTATCACCCTGTAATGCTAAAACAACAGCACCATTACTCAATTCAGACAGGAACGACTTGCAAGTTCTCAACATGTATTTTCACAATTAATTTGATCGTTTTCGCGGTTATTGCAGCATTTTAGGGAGGAGGCCTAGAATTTAAGGTTCAGGTAAAATGGTTATCAGGTGACTTGGTAACAATGTCGCTATTCACCTGCAGTTGCCCACACAGATGGCAGTGGGCCTAAGCATTAAATCATAATTGGAGGGAATATAGGGTCCATGCCCTATAGTCTAAAACTAGTTTAGGGAGCCACCGTTCCCGGTGGCAGTAGCTCCATGAAAACCCAACACAGTGTTTTCCACCATTAATGAGGGCCATCAGAAACATTGCTGAGTTCATCTACGCTGGGACATGCAAAGTCAATGCCTTTTTGTCAGGCTGCAGGTTTATTGTATCCGTCTACTTGACTGTTTTTTTTTTATGTTGTCAACTGAATTAAACTTTTAGACTCAAGAATGTTTAATTTATTGGAAAAGGCTAGTTTTGGGAAGTTGGCTTGGGCTAATTTTTAATTTAATTTGATTGTTCACAGTAACAGCAGCACCCAACACAAATAGGTCAAAATGTGAGAGAATGAAACTTTTTAAGAACAAAAACAGAGCACAAATACATGACATGTTATTTTTAAATTTTCAAGCATCAATTTATATCTGCATTTCTGGTAGTGTTTGACTTTTGGTGAATCACACAATGAAGCTGTACACGTCCTTCTGGGACATGCTAAATGTATGCGCGAGTTTTGCATTTTCCCACTTTTGTTAGATTTAATTCCAGGGATCGTTTCCTTATTTGCCGAGTGTAAAAAAAAAGTCCAGAGTAACACTAATCTGTGCAGGGGCATTGGTAAGCACTAACCTACATCCAAAAGGGTCATGAACTTGCCAGAACAAATTCTCCTCAAAATCGGCAGTTTATTCAAGTACATGTAATTGCCGACAGGACTCAAGATTATATTAGATTAGGAGAAAGAAATGAGGGGAAAAAATACTCTGCCTTCCTGAAATTGCAGACCTCATTTTTGTAATATTCAGTAACTTTTTTGTGGATTAGTGCAACAATGACCAGGGTGCTGGGTGTACTTTTTGATAAGATCTTTGGCAAGGAGTGGGCGAGGTTTACAACAAAGAATGGCTGGTTGTTTGTGAAAGAAAATTTTTCCATTAAACTTTGTGTTTAGAGTAAGGAAAAGTGGACTTTTTTTGGCTTGATATAAATGTGAAACTTGAAGTTCTTCGAAGCTATGCAATTATGATGTGTGTCAAAAAGCAGATCTGACCGAGGCCTAAACCTTCAAAGACTAAATGCATACAGCAGTAATCTTTAAATGCCAGATTTTCATACTTTTATGCCTACATGTTGTCAGGTGAAAGTATGGTGTTGGTTAAATCAGTTATCAGACAGGCAAATTCAAGTGACAGGCCCTTAGCTACAAAAGTCAATGTTGTCTGCATGATTAAGATTTGATTTCTTTTTCTTACACTGGCCTATTTAAATAAATACCTAAACAATAGTGATACATCAACGTGAACAAATTAATGTCAGGCATGTAACAGATTCGACAGAATCATCAAGGAAATCCTGAGCTGTGCAAGATTCGGTAGAGTGTTTTTCAATGCGCAATGGCATACATTGGAAGTAACAGGCGATGAAATCAGCCAATCCAATAAAAAGTTGCCAACAAAAACTATGTGCTGAGTGTTCTCACTTGTTCCAAAGAGCAGGAGACTAACCAATCATCATAGTCTGCTGAATCCCGCCTACTACATTTAAATCCAAGTCTCTCTTCCAGCGACAGTTGGAAATGCTTTGGATGCATGCATTTCTTCTCACATTTACTACCCAGCACAGCAGGGCTGGTCCGGAGTGGTACTGATAGATATGAAATGGGTAATGCCAGACTGACACAAACAGTATATGCCAGAGGAGTGGAAAGTCAGACAGGTAAAAATCCCTGGAGGGACTGTGTGTTTACTGAAAAATGATATTTGTTGGAATAACAGGAACAGTCCTGTGTGGCGAGGAGAAACAGTTTCAATAAGGAGCTGCAGTTACATTGTGCCAGGGCAGAGGTAATCTCCGCTCTCCTGTGTGAACATTTGACGGCCCTCTTTTGGACCACCAAGTTTTTGAAGATATGCTTGATCCTGTCCCCTTTACTGTATAATGGCAACACCTCAATGTCCAAGGGGTGGATTGAAAAGAAAATTTTCGAAGGGGAGGTGCAAAACTTGGGGTATTTTTTATGTAACCTTTTGTGGCCTTTCTGAGGGTTGAGGCTAAAACTACCTTTCTCCCTTTATTTAAAAAAAAAATTTTGTGCATGCATGAGCACTCCTGTTGTTGTTTTTTTGTGGGGGGGAGGGGCAGGGCACTCATTGCTCACCCCTAATCCACTCTTGAAGGGTCCATGACATATCCAATGCCATAATCACTGCTTATAGATCACATCGTGTTATTAGATTGACATAACAAACCTTTGAGCTGGGCTCAGATTATAATGCCCTCTAATTTTCAAGCCCAAAATGAGAGAAGCCAGCCATTGCTTTGCATCAGCAAAAAAAAATTAATTTCAACTGTTTTAGGTGGTTTGGTTATGAAATACAAGGTTTTTCGAGGAAAGTAGATTTCAAATCGTGTTTGACTGTTGCCATCTCTTACAAATTGTGGCCAAGAAGACAGAGGTATTCCTCGATA